AAATGTTTCTTTACTCTGTTGATTATATTAAAAGCATATTAAAATTATTTGTTTCCTAGTGTTATGATGTTTACAACTGTGTGTAATGCAACTGTAAAAAAGTCAGTGTGTGCAGGCAACAGACATTACCTCTAACAACAGTTATGTACATTTATTTTCCCTTATAAATAAAGGCACTCAGTTAGAGAGTTGTTTTAATGAGAATGTTTGCAATGTGGACTATTGCATTTTTTCAGAATATAACTGTGATTTGTGCAGCCTTTAAAATCACAGCCTATCCAAGCAGGCCAAACAAAAGGTGTGGCTTGCTTTTCAAGGTGATGTTCTCTATCCCTGTACTTCCTTCACTGTAGGCAGTCTGCAGATAAGTGCTCTGCTGGTGATCTACAGAGCTATATTGATGAAAAAGGAGTTGGCAGTCCTCAATAAGCCTTAAGGTTACTAGTGTTTCATTGGCTGAAAAAAAAATCATAATCTCTATTCCCTTAACAAAACGAAATTGAACAAATTGTATGTTTTGAGGAAATCTCTTGACTTTAATTCAGCTGAAATACAATGGCATCTTTTTTTTTAGCTACTAAGAACACATGCAGTATGGTTCTCATTCAGAAGAAGACTTAATTGAGTTATTTACATTCTTCCACAATTAGGATTCACTTGAAAACTCAGCTGGTTTTCATGTAGACTTAAAGAAACTTTAATCAAAAGAACAGGTTAGCCTCGCAGTCTTCCTAGCTTCTCTCTGAGTTTGTTTTCACACCAGGGTTTTGTTAAAATACGATGTTGAGGTTGTAAATATATTGAAAGTAACTAATCATTCAGTGTAGAAGCGGATTATCGTTTTTAACATTGTATTGGCTGGTCACGGTTTGAACTGACCTTAGCATTACTACTCCTGCTTCTGCAAGCTTGGATGAGCAGCTGAACTTCAGAAGGTAGCTGGGAAAACAGATGGCCTCAGAGGTAGAAACCAGCTTAAGAAGTCTTTTTCCTCTTCTTACCCACTTGTTTTCACTCTACAGTTTGCTGTGTCTCCAGTCGAACTGGTGCAATTATTTGTGAACTGAGGATCCAGTTATATATGTCCCTGGTCAGAACTAATGTGTGACCTTCTGCCACAAAATGCTTATTATATTGCATTGTATAGTATTAAATTAGATTATTTGTTTAAGTTTTTCCCACAACTGCCTTACACCGCACGTCCCACAGCTCCCACTCAAGCAGGCAGTGGGATGAGCAGGCCGCAGCTGAAGGGCAAGGCAGGGAAGCAGGGCTGCCTCCTCCAGTCACACCCAGCACCAAAGCATGGCCTAAAGTGGCCCAGACTGAAAGTGCCCCTCGCTTGATGTTTTGTTTGTTTGGATTTTATTTTTGTTTGTTTTCCGTTTTTTTTTTTTCTGAAATATTTTTAAACAGGATCAGTTTTATCAGCAGTAACCAATGACCGGTGGGGCAAACGGCCAGGGGCCGCTGCCGCCTCGC